ATTGTAACATTGAAAATTTTCACCCCAACAAAACCATTGTCAACTGAATCGCAGCCGAGGTTGACATAATGGTTTTCGAGGGGTGAAAATTTTTAATGTTACACTCAACTACATGCAATATTTATTATATTATACTGAATGTTTTATACACATACATATAACAGTGAACCTTGCGTGCATAAATTCTGCGCAGTCAGTATTTTTTGAAATATCACTCGTCGTCAAGCAATGTTGACTGCTGCTACGCTGGAGGGCGTGGTTTCATCATTCAGCGGGTAAAAGTGTTTTTTAACAAATGTTTCTCGACGAATCAGATTCAACTAATTTAAAAGGAAAGTAAAAAATTCCAATTTATCACGTGATTTGTAGACTCGGGTAATTTTGTGAATACTAAAAAAATCAATAAATCACGTGGCTTTAGCTCCGATTAGCATTTCGTCGACAGCGACCAACTCAGACCGTTACATTTTCAATTGATCAACATCGAATTATTTGTTTCTGCCAAGTATTGTTACTACTGCCAAACATTGCTAAAAAAAATCATTATTTGTATGTAAATGTAACATTCTTGAATATTTCCAAACCGGTACTTTTCTGTAATTTTGCTTATTTTTCTCTATATTTTTGCTTATTTTTTTCCTTTTCTTTTTCCCCTCTTTTACCTTGAACTTGATGTTGGGAAAAGGCTAAAATAGGATGAGCCTTCTGCTAAATCCCATTACCTCTGTGAATAAAATATTCTTTGAATTAAAACATACATGTACATCTACATGTATATTCAAAAGAGTTCAGAATATACTTTTCAAAGGAGGTCTTTCTGTGTGTATAAAGGTCGCCGCTTGGTAAAACCGATGATGATAGTGGCATCAGATGGATATATTGTTCAGATACTAGATTATAAGCAATCTAAAGTTATACTAGGTCCATATTAGGCAGACAAAAAAAAAAAATAATGATCCAGCCATTCTTAACAAATATTTGACAGATGAGGGTAATGGAATTTTAAATTGGGTAAAATGTTATGATATTTTAGTTTTAGACCGTGGATTTAGGGCCTCGCTAAGGGATTCAAAGAGTTTCAAAGACATGGTTCACATCTTAGCAACAGCATCATTCCTTAAAATGTTCTTGATTGTATAGTATCACTACATAGGGTAAAAGTACCCAGATGGTGAAACACTATGACGCTTACCGGGACACTCACTTTCTTCCAAATAAATGTTTTAAAAAACAAACAATAAAAACAAACAAGCACACACAACTAAGAAAACTGACTTAATTAGTGATTAAATGTCACTACAGCATCACGAAAATGTTTTGTTTTGTTATTCTATACACCAATATATACTTGAATACGGAGAGAGAGAGAGAGAGTTTCATAACATAAAATTCGATTTGTTACAAATCTCATTGAAAACAATTGTGTTTCTTTGTTCTTATCTTTTATTATTAAAATAATAAGAAGTGAATATTTACATAAAGTAATTATTTAGTTCTGAATTTCCACGTATAGACTCCTTGTGATCGCATCCCTATTTAAAAAAATCAAAAATACTATTTTTGAAACAAAAGAAACTCGTTATTCTTCTGTTTTTTTCCTCTTTTTTCTTCTTTTAGTAAGGCTGCTGGCTTTTGTTTATATGCCAAATGACTGCAAGGGTCTACCAAAACCCACCAAAATGGTTTCCATTTAAAATAAAAATCTGGATTTAGGGGAGGGAGTACCTCGATCTCCAAGATCTTTCCAGAAAACTGACAACAGCCAGGTTCAATAGGTCAAGTACACTACCTTTTATGGAAGGCACTTTTCAACACATGACGATCTTTTCGTCAGACACATTCTCCAATCAATTGAATGAGTCGCAAAGCATGACGGTCCACTATGTGTTGACGATTCAATAGCTACATGTGGTTTTCGTCGGTTTACTACATAATATTTACTTGGTCACTGGAAAAACCGTAAAGCTTCTTTTTTTTACTTTGTAAGGCTGAAATTGAAAGATTATATTCCGAAGACACTGATGTTTTGGAGGTCCGTGTATGCTCTGCTCCTATTTTGTATTGTTTAATGGACTTTTGAGCTTGAATACTGTTCGTTATCTCCATTTATTTCAAATGATTAATAGTTGCTTCAAATACCGTACAAACGCTTTGATGTTTGAGTGTACATAAAAAAAATGATGATATCGAGGAGGTAATTATTGTATACAGGGTTATTTTCGCCCCATGTTATTTTCGCACTTGCGAACAATTTTGTCCCCTTTTAAATTCGCCCAGTCACAATTCTGTTTAAGAAATGATATTGTGTATTTTGAATTCGCTCCGTTTTAAATTCGCCCATTTGTGATTAGGGCGAAAAGAGCGAAAATAAAACGGGGGCGAAAATTTCCCTGTATACAGTAGTAATTGAGTACCTTGTACTGCTGTCTAAAACTATGTACATGTACGGTTTTTCACGTGAAAAAAAAACACATAACGCTTTATCTACACAATAGCACCTACGTCTCTGTGAAAGTGGTGAACAATGGTTTACGCCGATGTATTACAAGTTGATATTAGGCTTCATAAAGCAAATTTTGGAAATGTGAGCATAGAAATAAAAGATTATACATCATTTTCAATATTTCTTTCATAAATATCAAAAAAGAATTAAAAATGAGTTTCCAAGGGACAATTCAAGTTGCCCTTTACTTTCAACACAACTAAGATCGTATTGATACTTGTAGTAGCCCATAATGCATTGCGACTCATTCAACAGTCGGTAAAGTAAACAGATAGTTAATTTACATGCAAATTAATACTGACGTCAGAAAATCTAGTGGGTTTGACCTGTCCAATTCTTCGATCGCTTGATGAAATGCCCCGCCTACTCCATATACACTGAAAGGAAAAAGAGAAACGCATAATTATTGACATTGACTTTAGAAATCTTAATCATAATTCGAATAATGATCAACAAAGTAAATATAATGTAAAATTAAGACATACAAACAATGTAAATCAACAAAGAAATGAGAAATGTTGGACACTGTTATTTTACGCAAAAAGACATTCTTTAGAGGGGGGGTCCTTACTCAGAATTCAGTTATTAATATCGACTGTGTCCACCGCGTGCTGCAATTGCTGCACGGATTCTTCTGTTTATGAGTCTGTTAACTGTTCTTATTAGGATGTTATTCCACTCTTCTGTCACTGCTTGTGCAAGTTCCTCAGTGTTGTTCGAAAGGTTTTGACGCTGTCGAACTCGTCTATCAACCTCATCCCATAAGTGTTCGATGGGGGAGAGGTTGGGACTGTATGGAGACCATTCAAGTGGTACAATGTTGTTTGTTGCCAGAAAATCGCGACATATCCGTGCAACATGTGGGCGAGCATTGTCCTGCTGTAGAACAAGATTGTGCCGACTCACAAAGGGAACAGCGTATTGTTGCAGGATAACGTCTTGATAACGTATAGCCGTTAGAGAGCCGTCAACAAGTACAAAAGGCGTCTTAAGCCCATGAGTTATTCCACCCCACACTATTATGGACCCTCCCCATGACGCATGCGTCGGAAAAACGTTCACCCTTGCGCCCATACACCCGCCTCCTTCCGTCTGCTCGGAAAAGGGTGAATCTAGACTCATCAGAGAATAGAACATTTCTCCAGCGTTGCAAGGGAAATCTGTTTGGACGATGTCTATGTAACCAGTCCATTCGAACATCCCTACAGTTGTGCGTCAATGGCAAACCTTTGTACGGCCTGCGCACTCTAAGACCCGCATCCCTCAGCCTATTTAGTACCGTTTTTGCACTTATTCGTGCATTGTTACGTCTTCGGAAATGAGCAGCAGTTTCTACAGCCGTTTGGAAACGATTCCTTAGATGGAGTAGACGAATTTCTCTGTTTTGGCGCCGAGTCGTTACCCTCGGACGTCCACTTCTAGGGCGATCTTTTAGACTTCCTGTTGTCAGCATCCGACGTCTAAGACGAGATATGGTTGACTGTGCAACGTTAAATCGTTCAGCGACAGAAATTTGATTTTCTCCTCGTAAGAGTAACCCTATTGCTTCACCCTTCTGACGTTCGTTCAAGCGAGGCATTATAGCAAGTTGATGTCAACACAAATAAAGTGCGGACCTTTTGTACATAAACATCGAATATTCAGAAATGATCAACAATGATTACAAATTGTAAAACGTGTACCTAAAGCCCTAAATTGTTGCCAAAATTTCATGCTTTATTCGAACACGCTCTTTTCATGGTTGAATGATTTTCCATTCATGTAAATAGAGTACCAAAAAGTAAAATATGCGTTTCTTTTTCCTTTCAATATATTAATGAGACACAATTTAAACCCAGCTCGGACAAGCTCTACATTCCGAACTTAACACACACAAGTAGGTATTTTTAATTACCTTTAACAAAACTATAGCGCCGTTTTTTTTATGTAAATTTCCGCAAGTATTGTACCACACAGACAACAAGGTAATTGGATAAATGTAAAATAATTCAGCTTTGAATTAATTAGATGATATTAAAGGGGTTGGGAAAAGGGGCCACGGCAATAAGCTTTTAAGTGGAAACATCCTTTCTATTTTTGGTAACCATGGCAACACCGTTCATCAAAATCAAAAATCGATGCACTGAATTATTTATCTTACTGTAGTCTACTTGTGTGCCAAGTTATATTAAAATCAGACCAAAACTGTAGGAGGCGTAGCATTTTAAAAGTTTTGCACAAATATTTATATTTTTAGTAACCATGGCAAAACCGTTCCTCAAAATCAAAAACCGATGCAATAAATTGTGTATCTTACTGTAGTCTACATGTATTTGTGTGCCAAGTTATATTGAAATCAGACCAAAACCGTAGGAGGAGTAGTGTTTTGAAAAAAATGTTTACAGACGGACAAAAAACAGCTAGACAGACGGACGACGGACACCTTACTATCGCATAAGCTTTTCTGGTCTCTGACCAGTAGAGCTATTAAAAATTATATTAAAATGTTACTCAACAGATGAGTAAAACCTCCCAAGGCGTAATGAAATGAGTGCTCAACAAATGAGTACTCAGCACTTTTATTCATCATGTTTATAAACACTAAAAGACGAGGACTATTCGAGCTGTCCCCGCAAGAGTAAGGATACTTGATCCCTGTTCTCTTATGGAAAACTGCCGGCTCACCTGTAAACCTTCCCCTAACACTGAAGGTGCTGACACTAGCAGTACGACGTTTACATACTCTCTGAGCTGAAGTCAACGTAACTTGCCAACTAATGGTGCCAAATTCAAATTTAGTAAACCATTTACATTACATATAGAATTGCATGGACGGCCTGGATAATTAAAGTAGTTATAGAACCTCTGATTAGTAATTCAATACTGAGATCCCAGGTTCGAATCCCCGTTCAGCCCAAAATGTTCATTGTATATTTGTACATTCCACTTTACATGTACCCACATGTTTTACAGAAGAAAATGCAGCTAAAACAATCCGTTTTTCCTTAAACTTCAATATGCCAACAAAAGAATTGACGCGGTTAATATAAGTAATATTCTTAATCACAAAAGGGTCCAGTCTTGTAATCCACCATATTTCAAGTTAAAGACTACAAATTGTATTTCCTACAAATATACATCGACTATTGCTTCCAAACTTTTTAATTACAAGAAAACTTTGTAGGCCCTGGATATCAAATATCTGAAACATAATCCTTCTTCGTGTTCATGTTCTTCTTCACCCCATAACTATAGTCCTGCTGGACACGTTATTACTGGTGACGTAAATATAGTTAATAATGAGGACCTTAGATCACTAATTTTAAAAGGTCCTAAATATAGGGAACCCCGATCCTTCAACTGGCGTCGGAATTTCATAAATATTATGGATTCTGTAGAGGATTACGCCAGACGATGGGCCAGACATGAAAAAGAAGACCTTGACACTTTGTCAGAATAGATTAAATGTATCAGATGTATGTTAAAATCGCGCATTAAAAGATTGAGGGGCAATATGAGAACCATCTATCCTTCTGTATTCAATAATCCAGAAGTGAAAAAAGAATTAGATATATGACATGATCAGTACATACTGGTCCCTGCTGACAAAGCACAGGTAACAACATTGTCTTCGTTTGTAAGGCTCATTATATTAAATGTATTCTAGAGGAACTTGGATTTAATTCTACAAATGGTAATCCAACTTATACTCATAGTTCCCTTTCTAAGGAAGAAATTCTTCAAAATCATATGTCAGTTTTGAATATTTTTAATATTCCAAACAACCAAAATGAATTTGAATTACCATATCTATATTGGATTCCGAAACATCATAAAAATCCTTACAAACAAAGATACATAGCGGGTTCCAGTAAATGTTCTACCAAGCCTCTTTCTTTACTCCTCGCTAAGATATTAACAGTAGTGAAGAAGAAACTTCAAGAGCACTGTGCAACAATATATTCGAGAAGTGGTGTTAATCAGATTTGGATACTTAAAAATTCCAAGGAACTTTTGGAAAATTTGAAATCACAAGATTTTACAAAAATCAACAGCTTAAAAATTTACGACTTTTCAACTTTATACACAACCATTCCCCACGATAAATTAAAGTCCAGGTTTTTTGATATCATTGACAGCTGCTTTTTCAATAAAAATGGAACTCGTAAATTAACTTACCTTGTCATTGGTCATTTGCAAAATTATTTTGTTAAAATTAAACATTCTGACTGTACACACAAGTACTCCGAAGATGACATTAAAAAGATGCTTGAGTTTCTGATTGACAATATCTATGTGGTTTTTGGAGACCAGGTCTTCCAACAATCTATTGGAATTCCCATGGGTGCCAATTGCGCCCCTTTATTAGCAGACCTTTTTTTGTATTCATATGAAGCAGAATTTGTCCCAAATCTTATACGTGAAAAGAAGAAAACACTTGTCGTGGCCTTAAACTCGACATTTAGATATACTGACGACGTATTGTCAATTAACAATGGTTATTTCCATTCTCATGTCGATACGATATATCCCGGTGAGCTTGAGATAAAAGATACCACAGAGTCTGACACATCTGTTTCACATTTGGATATTTACTTGAAAAAGAAGTTATTGGTAATCTAACAACCAATCTTTATGATAAACGTGATGACTTTAACTTTTCAATCGTCAACTTCCCTTACTTATGCAGCAATATACGTTCATCGCCTGCATACGGGGTTTATATCTCTCAGTTGATTCGATACGCAAGAGCATGCTCTGCATATGTACAATTTCTAAAACGAGGTAAATTTTTGACAAACAAGTTGATGAAACAAGAATATCAGCAGTCTCGTTTAAAGTCATCATTTCGAAAGTTCTATAGTTGATACAATGACCTTGTCAGCAAATACAATTTATCATTGAGTCAAATGCTGACTGACGTTTTTCATACATATTGTTAGGCCATTATTTACACACTGAATTGTCGACGGATTTCCCGATCATGACAAAGAGCACACGGCGGGGTGTGACCGGTCGGCAGGGGATGTTCACTCCTCCATGGCACCTGATCCTACCTCTGATGTTTTAGAGGTCCATATTTGCTCTGCTCCTATTTTGTATTGTTTAATGGACTTTTGAGCTTATCTCTATTTCATCATTGGTGCAGTTGACCACCCCTGGACTTGTGGATGAAAGTCCTGTCAGGGGCAAAAGTGTCTGGATTGCGCGTCTTCGAGGGCAAACACAATTAAAAGAGGGAAGAATGTAATAATCTAAGTTGGGCTACATGGACCTTGGATATCGGCTTTGATACTTCAATTGTTGTTTGACTAGTATAATTAACGCAGGGGATTAGGGTTCGATTATCATCATTCATCATCATCATCATTTATTTGGTATCATGCCATCATACAAAAAACAAATACACATAACTATACATAATCATTCGAAAGACAATATTTGGGAATCTATAAATTTTATTTAGACTTATTATGGCATGTCAAACGTTGCAATATTCGATTTTTTCCATTGGTATTGTATAATTTTCTATTTGTATTGTATAATTTTCCATTTGTATTGTAAAAGTTTCCATTTGTATTCTATAATTTTTCATTTGTATTCTATAATTTTTCATTTGCATTGTAAAATTTTTATTTGTATTCTTTATTTTTCATTTGTATTCAATAATTCTTCATTTGTATTGTATAATTTTTTATTTGTATTGTATAATTTTTTATTTGCATTGTATAATCTTTATTTGTATTGTATAATTTTCAATTTGTATTCTTTAATTTTTCCTTTGTATTGTATAATTTTTATTTGTATTGTATAATTTTCCATTTGTATTGTATAATTTTCCATTTGTATTGTATAATTTCTTATTTGTATTGTAAAATTATAGAATACAAATGGAAATTTATAGAATACAAATGGATAATGATACAATACAAATGGAAAATTATACAATACAAATGGAAAATTATAGAATACAAATAAAAATTATACAATACAAATGAAAAATTATACAACATGAATGAAAAATTATTGAATACAAATGGAAAATTATTCAATGCAAATAAAAATTATACAATACAAATGAAAAAATATACAATACAAATGAAATATTATAGAATACAAATAAAAATTTTACAATACAAATGAAAAATTATAGGATACAAATGGAAAATTAAAGAATACAAATAAACATTATACAATACAAATGGAAAATTATAGAATATAAATGGAGAATTATAGAATATAAATGGAAAATTATACAATACAAATGGAAAAGATCGAATAGTATGGCATGTCAAACGTTGCAATATTCGATATAATACATTTTTCTTTTGTGTTGTTTTTACCGGAAATAGTTCGTTTACTAACGTATTTTTTTTTTATTTTTCTTTCCCTTGTTAATTTCCGGTTTTGATTTAATTATGAGAAAGGATCACGCTGTTTCATTCTGTATGTAAACATGGGTAAGAAAGACAAAAAGAAAGGCAATCCCAAATCACATAGTAGACAGATTAACAGAAAAGTTGATGATGAAACTGTAAATTACTATTCACGTATTGCTGCAACTTTAGACGAAGGATTTGAGGGACAAGAAGAACAAGGTATAGCAATCAAAACAGGTTTTGTCCAATATTGATAAACAGCTGATAAATACAGGTCCAGTACATAGCTAGATTTACCTACCGTAGCCTTATTTAGTTACTTCAGGTAGCTTTTTTAAGCTATTTTAATACATGTTTTCACAATTTTACTTTTTACTTAAAAAAGACAAAAAAAATTGCAAGTAAGTGTCTACTATAAATATTTATACTAGGAATTATTTAAAAAGCAATCCAAAGCAGAGATAACTTAAACATTAATTGCTGCGTTTGAACACTTTTAAGCAAAATTTATATGTGTTTCCATTGTTTAAGTTACTGTACACTGCCTTGTGTGCGAGAGGCATGGATAAGTATGATTACTTCACATTGTGTTTATTTCATTCAAGAAGTACATGTAACTGTTTGGTCACAAATTAACTGCTGTATATAGCCCCCAAACTTTTAGATCTTTGATTGCAACTGTGCAGAAAAAGACATCTTAAACATGTTCAAAAGTGATTTTTTCATGAATTGTTTTCAGATGAGTTCAAAGTTGAAAATTATCATTGAATCAAAGTGTGATTTTCGACACATCCTGAGAAAATGCTAATTTAAGAAATGTTTGATTTAGTAGCTAAATAAAGCTACTTAAGGTAGGTAAATAAGCTATATAGGTAATTCAAGCTACTTAGCTAATTCTAGTGATTGTACTAGACCTGAAATATGGTTTATGGTGAAACCGTTGGGACGAGTGCAGCTGCACCATCAAAACCTTACACAACTTACACTTTTCAATTTGATCTCTAGACTGTGACATCACATTTTCCATAGGGAAGTTTAAATATTGCAATTTTTTAAAAAGGGCATCGTAGAATATATGCAATTATTATTTTTTAACTCTCTGCAAGAACTAAATCTTCATGATAACTGTGGGCCTTTATATTTGCCATTATCACGTGGATTTGTGGGAGTGAAAGAATTCTGGGAAAGTCTCACACAAAAATTTGCTTGACGAAATTACAGCTAGATTTCAGTTCTTATTTCCTTTTTTCTTACACATTAGTCTATAGAGCTCACTTCATGAATGGCACTTCTGTGCTGCTCACTCGCTGCGCTAACTATATTATTACACCTCATTATAATTACTCTATACAACACGTTATCTGATTGGTTCTGGGGCCATAAAACTTCATATTTCCCTATCGTTGTCACGCTTTCCATCATATTTTACCTCTTTGGAGACCTGGAGCATTTTCCCACCATAGTTATCGTTTGTTGAACAATAAACAATTTATTGCATGAATGTTTGGGAAACATGAAGATTTATTCAGCCAAGAAATATATATTCCCCATTGGCAAAGCCCTTGGGGAATATGATTTTTCTTGGCTGAATAATATACAATTATGGACTATTTCGGTGGTGAATATGGTTTGTAATTCACCAGAAAAATATCATTATTGACCAATATTGATATTTTTCTGGTGAATAACAAACCATATTTACCACAAAAAAGAGTCCATAATTGTTTTATTAAATAGTCAGAATAAATAAGACATTGAAAGCTGCATGCATGACGATACTATATTCATTAACTAACTTCTGAATGTACTAAAATGAAAAATATCCAGAAAATGAAAAATGTCCAGATCACAACTTCTAACTTCCGTGTTTTCCTTTGGCTGTGTGTAAGACATTGTAATGTTTGGAAAATAATCCTGCGATAAACGTGCCTGCTGAGAAACATAGCTGGCTCTGGCCATTGCAACCATTGTTTTCAATGTTGTTTGAGATATTGATTGTGACGTCACAATTCACTGCATGCTCACTGACCCTCTGGTAGATACGGCTTCAAATCCTGTGAACATGTAGTGTTATGAAATGTTTGCATTTGTATAGATAATATAGGGACTATTTATAGACTATATAATAAATCTTCTTATTTCCCTCATGATCATGCAATTAATGTATAAAATCTTGAATAGGCGGTAGTCACCCAAATTGGAATATGAACTACATGTATTTTAAATGGGTTATAATTATAATAAATATCACTGTAGATTAATTACACATTTATTTGAGTGATCTCAGTCAGACATCAGGCCCAGGGATCATGAAACACACTTAGACTTAAGTCAGATTTTCAATCGCCTGTAAATGGTTATTACTTATTGAATTAATCTCTTAATTTGCAGATAACAATACTTTTGTAAAGCAATATTGAAAAACATTTTAATTTTATTCTGCTTGACTTCTACGAGAATTAAGTATAACATAAAGATTTTGACTTAAGCTTAAAATGTTTCATGATCCCAGTCCCAGATCTTTAACATGTTGAGCAGTAAGGCAAACAGACCACTAAATGGTGGTTTAACCCCTGTTTGGTGATCAATTACCCAAATCTGAGTCAGTATTTACTGACCGTATGGGAGAGGAAAATTGTTTGGTTCAACTCCATGGAATATGGCATGAGATGTCGTATAATTTCAATTGAATTGTAGACATTTATGGGTGCTATGAAAGAAAAAAACGGAAATTCAATGTGAAATTTTTTTTTACAATGTAATTCAAATATTTGACAAGATCATCACCAAAGTAACAAGTGCATCATTTAGGAATCCATGCTTTTTAAAAAAAATTAAAAAAAAAAACTCCCTCCTTCCCGAAGTTTGTTGCACCTGTCAATTGTGTTTCTTACTCTCTCTTTTTTTTTCAATCGTCTTGGCAACTGATAATTTAATCCAATAAAAAATGACAGGAGTATGGTATTTTGCTATAGTAAATTTTTGGTTTACGTTTCCCTCCCTCCCCCCCAACTTTTGTTGCTGTAAGGTTGAGCACAATAAATAGGTTCCCCCCCACACACACTTTTGATACCGTTGCTATGGGCCTGTGTTTAATGTGATTTTATGAATATTAATACTGATCAAGATCACAAGAGTGATTGAAAGTTAATTTTTCAAAAGTTAAACCCCAGGATAAAATAGAATTTCTTTACAACTAGACACAACTAAACTCTTAAGTTTGGTTAGAGAAGTTTGCGGTTAGGTATAGCTCAATACTATTATCTATTAGTAGATATCTAGATATCGTTTTTACGAAGTTCCGAAGAAATTGAAAGTGGAAAATTGACTGAACTGTATTAACAGCAAGTGCAAGGAATATGTTCATTAAAATTCCCCAATGCCTATGCATATACACCTTTGCTTCAATACAACTTGAATTTGAATAGAAATGACCACTCTTTGGTCAGTAATTTGTCTTTGATATTGGTGATACTGGTGTGTGCCCAACCTGTTTAACATTGGCTTAGGAAATGAAAGAAGAACTATTTGATTTCATACCCCCAGCAACTTTGTTGAAGATTTTCTTCACGGATTATAAAACGTACGTAAACTGACCCAAGCCAGGTTATACTCAAATAATTTGGCCAAGAATTAGAGTTATTCCTAAATCCTTGTGGTTGTGCTTACTGGTAATAATAATAAAATTAATGTACATATTAATAATGTATTGTATTGTAACAAAATATTGTATTGTTACATGTACAACAATCACTGCATCATCACACTTCTTGAATTAAACAATCACATAGTTAGTTGATCAATACTTTGTTCAATTATGAAAGTTTTAGCAGTACTGTACGATATTGATAATATGTAAAATCTTGTGCAAGTTGTTGTCAAATGAAGCAAATATTTAAAGGCCTTGAGCATTATAACCTACCTCTTTTTCATTTATGTTTGTTTATTTTCAGAGTTATTTCTACATAATGTGTTCATCCAACTTGAAAAAGAAGATATTCATGTGTTTATGCACCCATCTCTACAGGAAGTTTTAGTGAAGCTAACAGAACTGTCTAGTATAGAACAAGCCACTAAACTGCTACAAATTCTCAAAGAAAATACAGAAGAACTATTGAATGATGGGAAATCCAGGAAAGTTATGTGTAGTCTACTCCTTCAGGTAGCTGAGTTTGTAGAAAAAGACATAGACAGTCAGAGAAGTGAAGAAAATGATGACCACATGGAAGAATTAAAAGATGTTTTTCTGGAGATTTGTCAGAGTCTCAAAGGAGATGTTGAAAATGTCCTTGTTGTGAAAACCGTTTTGCAGATTTTGGGTGGCCATGTCAACATTTCAGCAAAAGAACTTGGTATATATATATTGAATATCTTTGAAATATTTTCCACTGGAAATTCAGTTACGAAGTATGTGCCAGAATCAATGATTTAATTTTATTTTTGTCTTTTATTACTTTATTTTCAGGAGTCAAAAGAACAAAGACTGCATGGTCCTATACTCCACCAATAGAATTTATTCAAACATTTCATGAAATGTGTGACACCATATTTAGTTTAGAGGATATTGAGAGTAAGGTTTTGCTTTTTTTTTTTTATTATAAGATACAAGTAGCGTAATGTATTTGCTTGAGGAGTGAGGACACAGGGTTTATTAAAGTTTGCACATTTGTCACTAAAATCTCTGATTCCTCACCCATAACTGTGATAGGTATATTGGGTTTATTTCTATGGAAGTCAGCTAGGAAAGATTGCTATAAAAGTCAGCTAGGGAAAGAGACACCACTTTGAAAAAAATAAACCCTGGCATCATTAAAATATTTTGGTAATTTTTGTGTGAAATCAAAGGAAGTGACAAATTTCGAGCATCTCTGCCTGTTCACTGGCTTTGTATGAATACCATACAGTGTTTGTTATAGATAGCAGACAGACCATTAACCCTTGATTAGCTCTTCTGAGCCAAAGGCTCAAAGAGCTAATGCTATGGCCATTTGTGCGGTGTGCGTAAACTTTTTAGAATATGGGCCATAACTCAAGAACCCCTTGGCCAATTATTGTCAAATTTGTCACAGGGTATCCTTGGCCCAAGGGCTCCCTTTTATACTAAAACTGGGGTTGTGACCCTTTAACAAGGGGAGATAATTAGGAAAATAGAAAAAAAAGTACTGGTTGCTAAAAAATCTTCTTCTCAAGAACCACTGGGCAGATTATCACCAAACTTACACAAAAGGATGAGGATATGTTGTAGATTAAAATTTGCACGGGAATTTACCCTGGGGCAAAGGGCGTGGTCTCAAGGTCACTTCAAAGTTGACCAAAAATTACATTTTATTAAAATGTTGATATTTTGCTTACTATAAGGACTAGGATCATCAAATCTTGTCAGTTGGTGCATCTAAGGACCTCATATCATGTTGACTCAAAAGTAGGTCACGGTGACCTACTTTTTAAATTTTGCGACCATTCTTTTTCAAAATGATTTAGAGGCATATTTTGAACAATTTAAGGCCTATTAAAATCAAACTTTGTCAGTTGATGCATCTTGGGTCCTCAAAGTACGTCAACTAAAAAGTAGGTCACCTTGACCTACTTTTTGAATTTTATGGCTAATCTTTTTTAAAACACTTAAGGTCATTAATTTGAATACGGGGAGGCTTAGAATCATTAAATCTTGTAAGATGATGCATCTTGGGGCCATAAAACATATTTATTAAAAAGTAGGTCACAGTGACCTACTTTTTGAACTTTGCAGGCATTCGATTTCAAAGTGTTTTAGAGGCATAATTTGGACATTTTAAGTCCTATGATCATAAAACTTTGTAAGTTGATGCATCTTGGGTCCTCAAAAAAGGTCAACTGAAAAGTAGGTCACCGTGACCTACTTTTCAATTTATATGACTATAATTAAATATTTCAGGTACTAATTGGCTTAGAATCATCAAACTTTGTCAGTTGATGCATCTTGGGTCTTCGGAGTAGGTCGACTAAAAAGTAGGTCACCGTGACCTACTTTTGAAAATTTATGGCTTTAATTAGATATTTCGGATACTAATTGGCTTAGAATCATCAAACTTTGTCAGTTGATGCGTCTTGGGTCCTCGGAGTACAACAACTGAAAAGTAGGTCACAGTGACCTACTTTTGAAATTTTATGGCTGTATTTAATATTTTCAGGAATTATTTGGCTTAGAATCGTCAAAATTTGTCAGTTGATGCATCTTTGGTCCTCGGAGTAGGTTGACTGAAAAGTAGGTCACTGTGACCTACTTTTGAAAATTTATGGCTGTAATTAAATATTTTGGGTACTTATTGGCTAGAATCATCAAACTTTGTCAGTTGATGCGTCATGGGTCTTCGGAGTAGGTCGACTAAAAAAGTAGGTCCCCGTGACCTACTTTTGGAAAATTTATGGCTTTAATAAAATATTTTCGGGTACTAATTGGCTTAGAATCATAAAACTTTGTCAGTTTATGCGTCATGGGTCCTCGGAGTACAACAACTGAAAAGTAAGTCATGGTGACCTACTTTTGAAAATTTATGGCTTTAATCAAATATTTCAGGTACTAATTGGCTTAGAATCATTAAACTTTGTCAGTTGATGCGTCTTGGGTCCTCAGAGTACAACAACTGAAAAGTAGGTCACGGTGACCTACTTTTGAAATTTTATGGCTGTATTTAATATTTTCAGGAATTATTTGGCTTAGAATCGTCAAAATTTGTCAGTTGATGCATCTCTGGTCCTCGGAGTAGGTTGACTGAAAAGTAGGTCACTGTGACCTACTTTTGAAAATTTGTGGCTTTAATTAAATATTACAGGTACTAATTGGCTTAGAATCATCAAACTTTGTCAGTTGATGCATCTTGGGTCCTTGGAGTAAAACAATTGAAAAGTAGGTCATTTTGACCTACTTATAAAATTTTATGATTATAATTTTAAAAAACATTTTAGGTATTAATTGGCTTAGAATCATCAAACTTAGTTGATGGGTCCTCAGAGAATGACAAGTGATAAGTAGGTCACCATGACCAACTCTCAGGTACTAATTGGCATAGAATCATCTTGGGTTCTCAGAGTGTGAATTGGAATTTCAAGGGTTTATGTAAATATACAGGATACTTCGAAGCTTCAAATAGAAGTGATAGGTTGTACAGTTTATCAGAAGAGCGATTCAAGGCCCATGGGCCTCTTGTTTCTTTTTGGCTTTTATTTTGAGATTGCAAAAAAAAAATAATTCTACCAGAACATTATAATCAAGAATTTGAAAAAAATATGTTAATGATTAGGAACAAATAATAATGTATGTGTTGCTGGGGTTATTAAGGAAGGAATGGGAAACACAATGAACCTTGGTTATAGGAATTTTGACGATAGACTTGATGTGCTGCAGTGAATTGACCATGTCACCACTGATTTTACTTTTGAATGCTTGGATTGTAAGTGTATGGCTCAATCTTGACCAGTAGTCAATTGATGGATTTTTTTATTACAAATCACCAATTCCCATCAAGGATTAGAACTGATAAAATAGCATGCCTTATTTGATAACACTGTCTGAAGATTTTTGTGATGTTTATTTTGAAATATTAACATGTTTGTATATGTTTAAACAGAGAAAGTTGAGCACAACAAAGCAAGTATGGTTCTGACACATATATTCCCTCTCCTTCACAAAGTGGACCAGGCAGCATGTCACAAATTTATAAGGAAGTATCTGACCATGTCATCAGTTCTACAGGACTATGAAAAGTGAGTAAGGGGAGAACCATTTGAATCTGAAAGGGGGGGGGGGTGGCAGATTTCCGATGTTGGAAATAAATAATCTGTCCTTGACAATCTTTAAAATAAATAATCTGTTCTAGACTGGCAAGAAAATGAATAAATAGTTCTTGACCGGTGTTCTTTTTTTTCTTTTTCTTTTTTTTTTTTTTTTTGCTTGTCAAACTTTTTTTAATGAAGAAGAAAAGAAAATAAATAATCTGATCTTGATCATTTTGAAAATAAATAATTTTTCCTTGATTAGTATGAAACTTAATAATCTGACTCAAAAAATTTTGCACCCCCCCCCCCCCCCAACCCGAATTAAATGGTCATTCCCTAAAACCAGACCCAGGCCTCATCAGAAAGGAAAAGGCAGATATCAAGAACTTAACTTCATGTATTTCAATTCTTCAAAATTCCTCAAATCTTCATAAGAAAAGTTTTTATTTTTTGAAATATCTTTTTAGCTGACATGAGCTAAGTGCGTACTTGAGGTTTTCTGATTAAAGTTATCCATCTGTCTATCTGTCCATCTCTGTTGAGTGTTTTATATTCCTGTCCTTTTGATAGCTGTAGTGTAATAAAACAGATATAAAAACTTGGTTCCCATTTTACAAAAGAACTTAAGACTATGACAAATACGTAATTTTGCGAATAACTTTCTATCTTACTTGATTATAAAATGATTTTAATGTTTTTAAAACGAACTTAGAGATATTTTAATGTTAGTAATTTTTTACTGAATAATTAATTTTGAAAGATTTTACAATCACCAAAAATTTTTGTTCTTATTCATAAGTTCTTTTTTAAAACAGGACCGTGGTTCATATAACTGAGGGCGATTTCGAGGTGGAAAGCCTCTGAATAATAAAATGAATATAAAATTCAGGAAACTTATGGCCGAGGGTGTTTCACCTATTTCAGACTAAGTCCAAATACATTCATTTACATTTTCTGAATTTAAGAAAACAAAATTGTAAAATCAAGCAATTTTTCACATGAATATGCTTGAATGTCATGCTTATATCATTTAGTGTTAAAAGTTTAGAAATTTCCTTACCTGTGTTGAATAATTATAAGCAGCGGTAGTTTACTACTGTAAGCAGAGTAAGCTGGTAAATATTTACTTCTGGCTGCATACAGAAAATCCCTCAGCTTTATGAACCTGTTTTTATTATATTTGTTTAATTAATGTTGCAGCTGTGCAGCTCCAGCATCCAAAGAATATTTGTTAAATCTTTACATTTTTGACCTCTCCAGAAATACAGGGCCATTTTCAAGATTGACACAAAACATCCTTGGATAGTGGGGATTTTAGTTTGTTCAAAAGAAGGTGTATCACATGTATGATTTGGAAATACATTACAGTTACATGTATGTAGTGGAAATTTTAATATGGTCTTTAAAAAAAAAACAGGAACTACTGAACTCGAAAAGACAAAATTGAAAGTCAAAGCTTAATTATGGAATACATTCAAATTCCAGTGGTGACCCTCAGCCCTGGATTTGGGGTCAAAGTTTGACATACATGTAGGAAGTTACTATGATTTTTTTTTCTCAAGAACAGAAAGGCTACAATTGGTTATAAAATCTGCAAGTTATCACTGAATTTTCTTCAAATCCAGTTCCTTAAAATTTTTTAATCATAGAAAAGACACTTGATAGGCCTTAAAAATTTGACCATTACAAAATTAAGTTACAAAAGTTTGAGAAAATATGGTACTCAGTGAACACAATATGGAAATTTTTTCTTCAAATAATTGTACAATAACAATTTTTTTTCTTTGTCACAGAGAAATCTTAAGAACAGAAATAGTACAAATTACACAGAGCAAGAACAACAATCCTACAGTTTGTAAGCTGACCTTCTAAGCATCCATATGCTGTAAATTAAAATTGATAAATCATAGAATTCAATGTATAGGGGTTTCATATTGCATACCAGTATTTTTAAAATTGCCAGAAAGTGAGCATTGTAGCCCATGGGCCACTTTTCATATATAAAAGAATACTTTGCTTTTCTTAATGCATGATTATGACACCCCTCACAAAGTAGGAGGGAAAAAACAATGCCATTAACAAAAATTTGAGAAAAACGAATTTATTGTCTGTATTAATAGATAGAAGTTGAGGGAGCTCTGTTTAGCTTCATATGTTTGTATTTGATCAGGTTTCTCTGGCTTGTGTCTGACAGTCGAGGCTCTTTCTTAATGCAGACAGTTATAGAGTGTTCCTCAGACGAGATCTACACTGAGCTATATACATCAGTTTGTAAGGGGCACCTGCTAAATCTTGCTATCCACCCACAAGCTAACTTTGTCTTGGAGAGCCTCATAGCTAGGGCTGTTGACAAAGACCAGGTAAGCTATAACTTAAATTATAGTACACTGATGACACAGTTGACTTAAATTTTAAATGAGGATTCAAAGTATTTAACAAATTTTAAAACTTTTTAATTGGAATATTGAACTTTATACAGTTTTACTTTAAACTGTAGAAAAACATTAATAAAATTGAGAATAGAAGTAGAGATAATTGAATTAACAAATTTTGAGAGATTAAATGTTCCTGTTACTATTGATATGAACTCTGCACCATCATTTAAGTTTGAGGATATATTCATGGAGTTGAAGGAAAATTTTGAGGATGTTCTTGCCTTCAATCATTTGAGGATCATCAGCAGTTTGGCCAAAGCCTCCTTGAAATTGAAAACATGCCAGATGAAGCTAGTCAAGGTAACAGTTTTAGCATTTGGACCAGGAAGGGCAACAATAGGGTTTTTTTAATTTTGAAAGGTGTGTGAAAGGTCTTTGAAAATATTATGGAATACAAGAAAGCTACAGTTTGTAAAAATAATGCATTTCAGTCATCCAGATCGAGTCAAATTTGCTTGTGGAAAAATGTGTTACAAGGGCTCAAACTGGTAATGGAGAAGATGAAAATGTGAAAAATTTATGACAATGACCTTGACAACAACAGACAAATTTAAATCAGAAGATCTATAAAGATTTTTCTGATTTAAATTTGTCTGTTGTTGTCATTGTCATGGTCATTTTCATAAATTTTCTCCATTACCAGTTTGCCAATTTACCAACTTGCCACAAAGCATCTTTGGTTGAAGAGGATTCAATTTCATTGAAAGGGAGGGCCACGCCCTCTTTCAAAGGAAGATATTTATTAATAAGAATTAGTGAAACTTTCAAAAATCTTCTCAAGAATCACTGGATCAGAAAAGATCATATGTCCATTGTGTGTATTCAAATGTGTTCAAATCATGACACCCAGGGGTTAAGGGTTTGTCCACAATAGGCGATCAAAGTTTTACCTAGGAATATATAGGAAAAATCTTTATAGATTTTCTCATGAACAGCAAAGCCAAGATTTGTATTACTTAGATGGAAGCATCCTCAGGTAGTGTAGATTCAAGTTTATTCAAATCATGCCTTTGGGAAGGATGGGGCCACTGTATGTGATCAAAGTTTTACATAGATAAACAAGCATTCTGAGAGTATTGCATTAGCAATACTAGTCCCCTACCGGCAAGTGTAATCTGGTTCCCGTTAAAAATTGAAAATGCCATAATTCCGTCAAAAATCAATGAAGCGGAACGAAATGCAAACTTGATCTATAAATAATCAAGGTTAAGTCACATACCAAAAATCTGCTCAATATATGCAAGCGTTTAGAAGAAAATTGTGGAAAATCCTTAAAAATTGAAAAGGTCATAATTCCGTCAAAAATCAATGAAGCGAAACGAAATTCAAACTTGATCTGTAACTCATCAAGATACACTCACATACCAAAAATCAGCTCAATATCTGCAAGAGTTTAGGAAAAAAGTGCGGAAAACCAAGTGGGACAGACAGACAGAGGGACAGACAGACGGACGGACAGACTCAGAGGAAACCTATAGTCCCCTCTGGTTTCACCGGTAGGGGACTAATAACTATGGTAAAAAATCTTGATAAAGAACAACAGGGCCATAGTGACTCGGGTGAGCATTGTGGCCCATGGGCCTCTTGTTTTAATTTTCTGCAGAATAAGATGGCCACAGTTTATCATTTCAACATACAATATTTCTTGTTTTAGAGGAATTAGCTATTTACAATCACTAGTGACCTTTATTTAGTTGTGAGTTCATTATTAATAGACTGAAGTTTAGGAGATTCATTTTTTTGTAACATTGGATTCGGGCCTCGTGGCTTTTGAATCCATTTCCTGAAATCAATTCCTTTGTGTTTCTGTTTTCTAGCATTTAATGAGAGCTTTCCACTGCTTTGAGCCAGAAGATCGCCAAGGATTGTTTGTCCCTCTTCTTGCCACCTTAACAACATATGAAGTTTATTTTGGGATTGAAGAGGGCTCAGACAAACCAACAAAAGAGGTATTTTAGTGTTCTATAATTGCTTATATTATATTATATTATTATATATTATATTGTTACATATACTTATTAATGATTGTCACCAAAAATATTTGGTTAAAAAAATTCTTAATTCATTTTGAAAAGTGATGAAATTATGATGTGGGAATTTTTTAAATCATGTACATGTGCAGGCTATTTCATGGAACAAAAAAAGAATCAAATTACAGTAGAACACAATTATAGCAAACACACTTATAATGAATTCATGCTTACAGCAAAGTATAATTTTCATTTCCTGTGATTTTAAAACTTAATTATGTTTAACATCACAGGCATAACAAATTACAATTATAATGAATAAAAATTGTTCATGCATGGTACTTTGCTATTCAAGTAAGCCTGTTTGACTGTGTTTCAAGGGAATTGTGATTAATTATATAATAGTGTTGTACTTTGCATGCACTATGCCTAAATAGTAGTCAGGGTTTGACACATGGTGCACAAGCCGGAGGCGAGTGCACTATGTGTCAAACCCTGACTACTATTTAGGCATAGTGCATGCAAAGTACAACACTATTGTTATTATTATGCTGACTGTTGTATAAAAACGACAATATTTTCTCCCTCTCCAATGTTTCATCACCTCTCACATTCATGTTAGTACACCCCTATTATGACGTCACGTTGTGCTACATGTACGTCATAATCTTTTTTCTTTAATATTTTGAATGTTCCGTGTACAGACAGTTTCAGAGAAATTTAGTTGTGTGAAGGGTAAAAAATTGCAAGATACTATTTTATAAAAATTATTTTGTTTATTTTTTTTTCTTTTAGTGTAAAATATTTGAAACTAAGTTTATATATTATAATACAGTGTTATAGATAACGGCGTCAGTAGCGTAATCGGTAGCGCGTCGGACTGATAATCTTGTGGTCGTGAGTTCGATCCTCGGCGTGGGCGCTGTCGGATTTTCTTCACAAAAAGAAGCTGTGCTCTATTTCAGCGTAGTATGCTTACGCTATATAAATCCTTAGACCACTATGCGAAAATAGTTGGGTATTGACTATGTAGAGACAAACTGACAGGAAGCATAATAATGATCAATAGCAGAGTAAATATTGATGCCTGAAAAAGGAATAGTGATGCTTTATTGTTACAGTATTTTAAAACTGCTTTTATTTTCCAGAATCCAACATTAGGGAAAGTGAACATACATGGCTCTCTCATTCTACAAACATTGCTCGAGTTTAAGAACCCTAAATATGTTGTAAATAGTTTCTTACAAATGACCCCAGAAAATCTTCGTAACATGGCATGTGATTCCTCTGGAAGTCGTGTGATGGAAGTTTTCTTTAAAAGTTGTACTGTGACAGAGAAGAATAAAGCAGCCATGGTTGATCAGCTCCAGGTATGTAACTCATCATCACAGCCTTCATAGCATCTACAATCAATATGTTTAAAAACTAGGTTGAACAGGGGAAAACATTTTTACTTCTCCTGAGTTGAAGCTGATCTAAAATATTTCGATATTTTGCACACTATTAGGACTTGGATTATGAATCTTGTCAGTAGATGCATCTTAAGGCCTCAGAGCAAAACTCCAAAGAGCTGTACATTTATGTCTTTTTGTACCTGTCCATATGGACAAGTGACTGTGAAATATACTTGTCTGAACATAATTTTGACTTGTTCCCAAAATTTTTTCTATAAAGAACTATTAGATAACTTAAACATAATGTAAATCAAAATTAGAATATATAATATATTCACCAAGTCAGTTTTATTATGTTTTTTACATATAGTAAATGATTAAACTAAATTGTATCATCCTGTGAGTGCCCCACATATGTAGTTAATGCTAAATTAATAATATAAAAATTGCAACAAGAAGAAATAGGTTGAACATCAATTATTTATTTGCCTTTTTTCTCAAACCCTTTTTATTACCCTTGTATTCTTAGCTTTCCCACCCAATACTGAAAGTCCAAACTTGGTCGGGTCTGTGCAACTAATAGAAGCTCAATATTGAAAGTAATGCCTTAATAGTGAACTTTGATTGAGTTTGATGAGCAGGATTGAAATTCATTTTTAAGATTGGGATGGATATCAACTATTTCCCAGGTTTAAGTTTTTCATTTTCAACTTTGAGAAAAGAATTCTTCACAGAAAAATCACTTGTCCAATTGGACAAGTGCCCAGCAATATTCACCTTGATAAATTTTCACTGGTACTGGACAAGAAGACAAATGCTTTCACTCCAGAAATAAATGAAAATGGCCTACTTTTACCTCCTCAAAATCAAATATTAGTAGGGCATATTGTTTTTGGTGTTTCTCTGTATATCTCTTTTTCTGTCTGAATTACCTTGCTTATTACTTCTAATTGAAGTAATATATAAGTGTACCTTATGAATGAGGGCAATTTTTGACCTTGACTCATGACCTAAGACAGTTCCGACATGCTTATTTTGAAGTCTCTTGGATATTTAGGCCCTGACATCCTTAAACCTTGTCAGTTGCATTGTAAGGTGACTGTCAACCCATATGTAAGACACTGTGGCATTCTTTTTTTTGGTGAACAGGATGTTTCAGCAACAAAATTGTGTACAAAATGAGAACTGATATCGCCAAACCTTGTTAGTTGATACACCTTTGGTTGTAAGAACCCCAAAATACAGAGCGACTTACATGTACCTTTTGTAATTTTTAACAATTCATTGTAATCATCTTACTTAAATATCTTACATACACAGAATAAACCCTGGAATAATAAAACTTTATCAGTTAAAGCATCATAGGGTCTTGCTATGGTATAATGAAAAGTCAAGTTGACCCCAGTTTAGAATTTCTTGTGACAATACCTTTCTTGGGTAGGTGCCACCATTTTTGATTTCTTGACCTTGGAGTTTGACCTATATTTGAAAAAACTTTAACCTTGGCCTTGAGCTGCCATCAGTGTTTCACAAGTAAATCTTACTTTTTTTTTACTCTGATCATTGTTGCATTGTGTACAATTTCCAATATTTAGCATGCATAAGGTCAAAGAGAACTAAACCCTGTCTGTTGAAGACCCTTTGAACTGTTCATTGTTATATACATGTATTATAATTATAATATATTGTGATGCTTATGGCATGTCAAACGTTGCAATATTCGATCTTTTGCATTTGCATTGTATAATTTTTATTTGTATTGTATAATTTTCTATTTGTATTGTATAATTTTTATTTGTATTCTATAATTTTCTATTTGTATTGTATAATTTTCATTTGTATTGTATAATTTTTATTTGTATTGTATAATTTCCCATTTGCATTGTATAATTTCTTATTTGTATTGTAAAATTTCTTATTTGTATGCGATAATTTTTCATTTGTATTGTATCCGCGGACTGTTTATTTGTTTCGTTACGAAGGATTTCATTGGTCAAGTTTCAGTCTGTATCGGGTTGAAGATGTTCCGGATGCTCAAAGCAAACTGGGCTCATATGTATTTGCTTGCTTGATTGATTGATTATTGTTTAACGCCGAGTCGGCAATATTTCAGCCATATTTCGGCGGCATATGTATTTGCGTGCATGTTAGACGGTCATTGGATTCTAAAAAGGGAGCGCTGGTAGATGGCAAATAAATAATCTGTCCTTAGGAATGCTGACTGAGAAAATAAATAAATTGACCTTGAGTGGTGGTAACTACCCCCACCCCCAAAAAACTGAGTTTTCGGGTTTGGGTGGATTTTCTTCTTTTTGTTTTTCTCCTTGTCTCTGGTCATATTGGAAATAAATATTCTCTCCTGCGAGAGAATGAAAATAAATAATCGGATTCAACACCCCCCGAGAATCAAATGGTCGTCCCTTAGCATGCACCGCAAATAGAGGAGCCGAGTTTGTGTTTGTAGAGAGTGCGCGATCGGAATTGTGGGAAGGGTACCAGACTAAGTTTGTGATGGGCACCTGAGACCATTATACAGACTAAATTTTATGACTAATGACATCCTTCGTAACGAAATAAATAAACAATCCTCGGATACAATACAAATGAAAAATTATCGCATACAAATAAGAAATTATACAATACAAATAAGAAATTATACAATGCAAATGGAAAAAATAGAATACAAATGAAAAATTATACAATACAAATGATTTTTTTTTTACAACACAAATGGAAAATATAGAATACAAATAAACATTATACAATCCAAATGGAAAATTATAAAATCCAAATGGAAAATTATAGAATACAAATAAAAATTATACAATACAAATTGAAAATTATACAATACAAATGAAAAATTATACAATACAAATGAAAAATTATACGATACAAATAAAAACTAGTGCTAATTGTAACGGGAACCGTTACAGATGTTCCCCAAACGGCTCCCCAATTCCTTATGATGCCCCATTCCCTACAAGCTTCAATAAATTAGACTATACTTTTGTAGTATAGATGGACACTTTATTTATAAGGGTATTTCATTGGAAAACTATTCCGATATAGCCATATGGGTATTAGCCAATCAAATTTCAGCGCATGTGCTTGCTTCTACATTTTTCACATTAATTTTCTTATAGTGTCTCACAATACATACATTTGTGTTAAATATTAAAGAATTTCATTGAAAAACAAGAGAGATGTAACCCTTTAAGTATTAGCCAATCAGAATTCAGCATACGCGCATGCATGGCCTTGCATTCAATTTTGATAGCATCATAATGTAGGAGCCCTATGAGCATATCCATGTCGTAAATTCCATCATGTTTTGTTGAAAACCAAATGAGTTATAGACATTTAAAGTCTCAGCCAATCAGATTGCAGCACACCTGCCTGCGCGTAGTTTCAAGAGATTTCCTATGTAACATGTTGTAGCACCTTATAATATATACTTATATTTTAAATTTCAAAGTATTTCGTCAAAAAACAAGGAAATTATTGAGATTTTTGTATCAGCCAATCAGAGGAGAGCGCACGTGCATGCGCGTGAGTTCATGCTAATTTGACCATGTCAACTTGTCTAGACTACTAATATATCTTTATATTTTGAGTTTCAAAGCAATTCATCAAGAAATATAAAAGTTACGGCTTTATCAAGTATATCAGTCATTTCACTCAATGCACGCGCGCGCACGTGCATGCATGTGCGCGCAAAATGACCTTCGTTCCGCACACCTACATAACATGCCTATTAACCCTAAAAAGGTTTCATGTCAATCGGATGAGAGGTTCTATGAGAACACTCCCGGACAAAAAAGTACCGGAGAAGAAAGTAGAAAAAAAGAATAATAATAATAATAATAATAATAAGAAACAGAGTAAAAACAATATGTTCCCAAACTTCGTTTGGGGAACATAATTATACAATACAAATGGAAAGTTATACAATACAAATGGAAAAGATCGAATATTGCAACGTTTGACATGCCATAGATGCAATATTATAAGAACTGGGTACGTTAAGTATAACAGAGCGGCCCTGTCTCCAAATTTGATTTCAGTTTTTTACAAACATGCCTACGATGTGTCCTTTCAAAATCATTTTATTTTTTTTAATTATCACAAACCGTTTTTCCGTCAGAGGTCTCGAAAAATGGGAAGTTTTCTTTAAAAATAACAAATTTTGACGTGATAACGTCATCACGTCGTTACTGATTTTAACGTTACGTTAAAAGAAATCTGTAAATTCTCTGAACTGGAAACTATTTACTTTAACCTGCCTTATGTTCCAGAAAACAATTTTGAACTTTTATTTCAATTCATCGTAATGTATCTTTAATAGCTGGAAGGAGTATATCAATTTAAAGGAAAATATAATTTTATTACAAACGATTTCATCAGACAAGTAATGAAGCTTGATTCATCCATACAGACGAGACAAGGTAGTACTTCTTTTAAAATGTGCTCGTATCAAATTCATCATTTTTTATGTAAAAATGTCCTAATGATTTCTTCAGTCATTTTCCGGATTGTCTATGAAGTTACATTAAAATTTTTAAAGATACATGAATCAGTATTAAAAAGAAAATTGGAACGTCCCATATAAAGTTGTCAAAATTGGATTTTTGGCAATGAAAAAGCGATCAACACCACTCCCCTTTTCCATTCCAACAAATGGCAGCGCTATTATTTTCTTTTCTTTTTTTTTTCTTTTTTTTTTTTTTTTTTTTTTTTTGGATAAACGTATAAATTACTCACTATTACGGGGTTACGAGGTGTCTTAAACTGCGTTAAAAAAATTTTCTCTGATGTTAGGATTTCTTTTATAGATCGTTATTTATTCATTCCAGTGGATCCGCTTTACTGCATGGTTCATGTAAAATACCCTAACCAGGAACAATCCCCAATATACTTACACACAATCACTTTCTATATTAAAACCACAAGAGGAGACCGGTTATAAGAGTCCTGATTTATGAGGCCATTCCAAGTTTTTTCTTTGTTTAGCCTGTAGTACACCTTAACGGGCATAATTCCCTAAAACTAAAAGTTATAAAAATAAGGATATAATATTATGTGTATGATTTGCATATAGAGTTTATCCGCGTCAGCTTTGAATATATGCGCATGTCGTCTTCAAAGCAATGCAGCATGAAACGGCAGACACTTGCATTTATATCGATCAGTAAAGATCGATCAACGGTCACAGTCCAGTGGGGAGCCAAAGGAAATTGGAAAGGGATGTATTTAGTTTTAAATCAAATTCTTGATATATTCTTTTTATTGGTACTCATTTCAGTACATGTATAACTTGATTATCAGTAAGCACCCCCACCCCACCCCCACCCCACTTCTATTTACATAGAGACAAAATACAAATAATCGAAATGCACAATAACAGAACACTCACATAGAAGAATTAAAATTCACTTTCACGTCCCTTTCTATAAGCTACATAGAGATTTTATTTCTAGTTCAGTTATTAAATTATACGAAATCTTATGTTATTTTGTTACTTGTGGGAACAATGCGCAAAACACGTCACAGTGCTTCTTTATAGAGTTATCCTTGCCATTCCCGGATTATAACACTAGCTTGATTATGTACTTTTTCATGTTAGTGTCCGATAAAAAACATCTTAAAAAATATACCTAACAAACTGCTGACATGGATTGCAAGACGATACATTACGTCATCTACTAAAACAAAAACTGCATTAAAATAGATAAAGATTTTCTTTAGAACTCCTCCCTATGTTTACATGTTACACAGCCGTAGGTACATGTAAGATGTTTGATATATTTCGGTGACAATGATAATTTTATCACTTCCTTTGGATACATTAACTCTCTGGGGCATTTCCTTGTGCATTTGTCCTTGCAGTAACGATAAAATACTTTTAATTTGTTTTTTTTTCTTCTGGAATGGATATTTATCACAGACGGACGTTGAATCTTTAAAATTTAGCGATAATGTGCACCGCCGTTTTCACAGAGGTGTTATTGGACAGTTGCTCCTCCAGCCCCGATGAACATCTATTGGAATACTAAACATATTTTCCTATGAAATATATTACTATTATTTTATGGATAATCTGGATAAAATCCTTTTAAAAATACTCGCTTACTTCAAGATTAACAATAGTGTACATGTAGTTAATATGTACATTCGTTTTTTATACAGATAAATATCTATAGAGTAATCTTTTTTTCTTCTTTTTTTCATTTCAAGACTTTGAATGCCTTAAAATGTAAATAGGAAAACAATTTCTGAAAAAAAATAACGAGTTAAACCATCGATTATGGAGCGGAAAGGGGGTGTCTTGTCCACAAGTAATGCAAGATCGTGTTTGTATTTCTTACAGAACTGGGAACAGATAATCTTTATTTATTGACAATAAAAAAGGTTGATTGTTTCATGTCTCACTTAAATTTTCGTAGAAAATACCGAAAGCGTACACCACTGTATACGTTTTTTAAGCCTTATAAACTTGGTCAACATAATTATCTAAAATTCCTTGTAAATTATAAATTAAACCCAATTTTACTTGAAAACACTGATGTCAATATTCCGATCAGCATGATAAATGTATATATATAATTAATAAGTATAAATACATGTAAGAACTTTTCCATTCCCAGCTGCTGACCTTCAATAAGTAAATATAGGTCGGCAGTGGCAGGTTTAGAAGTATTTAGTCATATATAAAACACTTCCTGATTATGCGATAAAACACTAGAATCCTTTCTGACATAATTAATTTTGTTAAATGAAAATCTGCAACAATACAGTGACAAGGATAACAAGTTTTGAAAAGAAATGTTCAAATGGTGACTGCTATACATGTAAGCCAAGCTTCCAATCTACCTCCCCACCCCACCCCACCCCACCCCACCCCCACCCCCAAAAAACGTTAGCTATTGTCTTTTGACATTCATGAATCCCAGGCATATATAAATTGAAAACGAATAAAACATACTTAAGATGATTTTCAACAAAAAATGTTAAAAATAATCTTTTCTTGAAGTCAAATAAAGTCGATGTCCACTATGAAAGAGACACGCGTTTTAATTGGAGGTACATTGTACACATAGGATTAAATGTAAATTGATTGTCTGAACCATCCCAACTTATGTCGTTAAATTACTTTTTCACGCTGTAAATATTGATTGAATATTTATCATAGTTGCGAAGACTGAATAATGTTTCAAGTACATATTTACAACATGATTGCTCTTTGTGACGTCATTTTTCCAATGCATTGCGTCACTAATATACATGTAATGTCCCATAGTAAAATTTCACTGAGAAAGGTTCATATGGTTTTCATTTGCATAAATAATTGTATTAAATTAATTTTTTTTCAAACGCAGAATTGAATTTAAAAGACAATAAAAAAAATAATAAAGCCTTCAGATATAGAATTAAACAATTAATTTCTTTAAAAATATAGATTTTATTGTGGAGAAAAGGTGACGTCTATCCAAAAATGCAGCATTTTAACTTCAATTTTTTGTAAAAATGGATGTGGCCGCACTTTTGTAAGGTTATTTTTTCTCTTTAATATTAAAAATCGTAGTGTATTTGTTCTTTCTGCAAAGTTTCGCATACATACTCGGATGCGGCCATATCGAAATAAAGACTTGAAGAGGAGGAAAATGTCCAAAATAGGGGAATTCCGGAATATTAGACCGGTTTTGAACGTTATATAAATGAATGGGCACGTGAGTTGAGAAAAAATTATTCCTATTTCACACACAGGAAAACCTTAACAGTTAATTGATACAATTGATAGAATGTAATCGTGCGTTAAATTTTTGCCGATTTTACAGGGCCGTAAATCGGTCTTAACGTACCCAGCTCTTTTAGCATTTTTAAGCCCCTGGGCCTCTTGTCAATGTTGATACATTTGGTACAGTATATATTTTAATGCTAAAAGGGATTTGAACATATATGCTGTTCTGAATTAGTTTTCCTCAGACTATCGTTAATCTAAGCAGTCTATTTTTGTCGGGATTAAACTTAACTTTTCATTCTGTATACAAAGGTACAATACTTAATTACATAATAATATGCAGAGTATATACTATAGATTCCTTATGTTTCCTGAGTACTTATTATTGCAAAACGGCTTTTTAATGTACAATCTGAGAACAATAATTCTCAAGTGGACGGTTGATCAAGAGATTTTACACTGATTTCAGCTCCATAAAAATAAAGGCGAGTAAGAACTACGCACGCTAACTCTCGATTCCCGCCTACATTTTACACCCATTTAATTCAATACTAATGGCAATTTGGCCGGAATTTTTTTGTTGAATGCAAAGAACAGTTCAATGGTAATTGACTGATAATTTTAATTCCAGTGTTAAACAGTTAATTACCCCTAATTCCAGCTATTTAAATAAGGGGGGTAGACGATATTTTTCATTGAAATCGGGCTTTAAAGCATCACCACATTTTAAAATATACTTGGATATGAATAAATGTTCCTTGAATCTTTTCTTATGTTTTACTCATATAAAATTAAACATATATTATTAATAAAATACAATGTTTTAGTTGTAAACCCCATTGAAATTGGTGAAAAAATAAGCATTTTTGTAGTTTTTTTGTCTGTTAACATATGTTCCCCCCCCCCCCCCCCGTGAAACACAAAAAACTTTGGTATGAATTTGTGAAATGACAGTCCATATTACCTGTAAAAAGGAATTTTTGTTTCATGGGGGGGAAAGATGTTTTGAAAATATTTTCCGTTTTCCGTTGATTTCTCTAGTGAAAAACACAAGTTTTACCAAAAGTATAGAGTTATCTCTCTTTGTTTTCCCAAAGAAGTAATGTTTTTTGAAAATTCATATAAATATCTATATACATATGAAAAATCATTCAAATGTGTTAACTTTTGAAAATTGACTTGAAGGTAGGCAGGAGAACAATACTATCGTTCGCAGTTCTTTTATTTCCCGAGTGGCGATTCTCACCAAATTACACTATTATAATTAATTCCTCGTGTATATTTGGGAACTACAGTATATGTTGAAGGGATCAGAACTCCTAGGAACCTGCTGACAGGCTCTTGTTTCATACAGTATGCTAGTTAATGTTAATAGCTAATAATGTGTTATTGTATAGTAATGAACTAGCATACTGTTTGAAAGAAGTACCAGTGATCTGTATACTTAAACTTTTTTTTAATAGGATGTGTTACAAGACATTGCATGCAGTTCCTGTGGATCTTGGATCATTGAGACCATGTGGAAAGAGCTCCCCCTTCAAAAGAAAACTGATATTGTAAAGATATTGGCAAAGCATGAGAGACGCCTATCTAATGACCAGTATGGCAGATACATTCACAAGAACTGTGGAGTGTCCACTTACATACACAATGTTAAAAACTGGAAAGAAATGCAGACAAGTAGTCAGAAAAAAAGAAAAATGTTTCAGGAAATTCTTGAAGCACCTGGTGAGTGTACAGTACTTAAAGGGCCCCCAGACAATACTGCAAACATAGATATATGCGATTTTTGTTAACATGTCTTCTACATGGGGATTATTTTTGCAAAAATATGGAAAACAGGTTGGTCTTAGACTTTGGATTAAAACTGATTTATTTGATTAAACACCAATTTTTACATAAGTATTCAATGGCGTTGTACAGTAAAACTGTAAACTATTTTCATATAATACATGTATATACAAATGTACATGTCAAGGAGAAGAACTAGTAAGTTATTTTAGAACTTGTTTCCAATCCTTTTGATTTAATCAATAAAATATGTTCATAACAAAACATGTCAGAATTGAGATAGAGCATCAAAGTTCCTTAAAAAGTAAATTTTTTTTGTAAGTTGCATTTGAAATCATCAATAGTTTTATTTAGGATTAGCTATGGACTCATTTTTTATCATGTGGAGTTTGTTTCAGGGATGTAGCATCGTTTTTGAAAGTGGGGGGGGGGGGCAGCCAGAGAAAAAATTTTCAACTTACCTGAAAAAACTTGACGAGCAAAAAAAAAAAAAAAAAAAGAAAAGGAAAATTGTCCAAACTCGAAAATCCTATTTCGTGGGGGTGGGGGTAAGGTTCCAACTTCTTTCAGCACCAAATTTTACATATTCACTACTACATTACCCTTATTTGACTATACTGCAACAAAAAGTGTGTGGGGGGGGGGGGGGGCAACCACCCTTTCATGAACATTTTCAATATTATAGTAAAAAGTTATGTTTCAAAAATAGTAGGATGCTACGTGCCTGTGTTTTATCAAATTATGACACAAAAGACCTACAAATACACTGTATATCAGTACAAATTTTGCTTAAAAATGCAAAACATTTTTGTGTAGTATTTCTTCTGTATATCTGTGTATTTTGATATATTTTATTTCTGCAAAAGCTTTAAGCATTTAAAAACACTACATGTAACATTATCTGGTAATTGGGTTCACTTATTTATCAATAGCTGATTTTTTTCCCTACTTTCAGACATAAAGAAAAAGAAGAAGAAAAAAGCCTAGTTTTGTGAATTGAGTAAACTTAGAAATAAAAGATCTTTTTTATTTGTTATCCTGGTTTATATTCCTGGTACAGTATATTTCACTGGTGGGAATTTTCATCACCTATATTTCCTGATCCATGATGTGTTCCCCTACATTACTCAAAGGCTCAAGTGGGCTGTTTTGATAAACATTTGTCTGATCTCCAGATTAATTAAAAGTCAGACTTGTCTAGAGTAGATCTAGAAAAACATTTTCTGGGAAGGGGAGTGTGAGGGAGGCTATGGGAGCTAGGATACCTCTCTAATCCTCTTTTGAGTCAGAAAATTTTTAATGAATGGATACAATTTTGGTGGGTCCTGGTGCCTTCTTGAAATCATTCTTTCACATATAAAATGTATCAGATCTAACAGTATAACACTTTTCTTTCAGAAATAAATATTTTTCAGTGTTCTTTTTATTAAAAAAGAAAAGGGGGAGGGGGATTGCACCAAAAGCACTCCTTGTTTCTTCGCCCTTGACAAGGCTTTTATACACATCCTTGACTATATAACGCGAAATATTATTATGATTTATTATATAAACACGGACTTTATGAAATCTAAAATATAAAAATTATGCTTTCAAAGACCATGCATGTATTGTCATAAATGTTTTTCAGGAGAAAATCGCTGTGGCTGTCTCAAATATGTATATAAAAAACAATTTTATTATATTCTGATTTTCATAAAAATACTAGATATGAAGTCAGACAAACGTCCTCCCCCCTTGCATTTTTTTGAATTTCTTGCATCCATTGTTTGGCATACATTGTGTCAAGTATGAACTTCCTGTGTTTCCCCTGACCAGCACAGGAATTACATATTTTTGTGTAAATGACTTTGATCCATTAGAAATTTATGACGGCACGAATTGTTCAATGTTTGTTTAAGTGAACTTAAACATGCCCAAATTAATCTTGGGTCAAGATCAAGACACACCCTCTTGTCAAATGGAAACTTTTGTCAAGTATGAGCTTCCATTGTTTTTCTGTGCAACGTTGTGGTCCGGACACGACTGCACAGACAGACAGATGTATTAGGTGGTTCATATCCCCCCCCCCCCCAAACGTTGCGGGTTTTATATAAAAAAAGATGATGACCCCGTATGGCGGCTCAAGGCTAAGGTTAAAGTTTTTCAAATGTAGTTCAAACTCTAAGGTCAAGATCGAGAGTTTAAAAATGTTGATTCCCAAAGAAATGTCTTGTCACAAAGAAATACACATACATATGAAATATACTAGCCCTAGTGCCAACCATTCAAAAAATATGACCAAGGTTAAAGTTTTTTATCAAAAAGTAGGTCATATTATAAGGTCAATGTCATGAGGTAAAAAATAATGGTACCAGAGGAAAGGTCTTATCACAAGAAATGCATTAGTGAAATTTGAAAGCCCTTAGCTTGCAGCAACCATTCAAAGAGTTATAGGCAAGGTCAAAGTTTTTTTTTTCAAATGTGATCAAACTCTAATGTTAAGGCCAAGAGGTAAAATATGTTGGTACCCAAAAAGGTCTTATCACAAGGAATACGCATGTGATATATGAAAGTCCTATCACCAACCCTTCAAAAGTTATAGGCAAGGTTAAATTTTTCAAAGTAGGTCAAAAGTCAAGGTAAAAAATGTTGGTATCCGAAAAAGGTCTTGACACATGAAACATATTTGTGAAATATAAAAGCCCTAGCTCCAACCGTTCAAAAGTTATGGCCGAGGTTAAAATTTGGTAGATTTTTGCAAAAGCAGGTCATACTCCAAGGTCAATGTCACGAGATCAAATATGTTAGTACCCAAAGAAAGGTCTTGTCACAAGGAATATACATGTGAAATATGAAAGCCTTAACACCAACCATTCAAAAGTTGTGGGCAAGGTTAAAGTTTTTGCGGATTAACTGATTGACAGACGGGCGTGTAGATCAAAAACTGTATGTACCGAATCTTTGATTATCAAGATTGTGACGGAAATGCCCGAAAGATGTTGTAATGAAATGAACAAAATCCTTGTTTCCGTTTTCATAATTTTCTATATATTCATCTGTTATTTACACCGATGATTAAAACCAAGACATTTTCTAAATTCAGATTTTCCGTACCGAAATCTGAAAAATTAAAAAAAAAAATTAGAAAATCTTGTTTATGAAAATCATGTGGTCTGTGGCATTTAGTGATATCACCAATTCGAATAGGTGATATCATATACATGTAACTTATTCAAATAGGTGATATCACCTTTTCGAATATTTGGAATACTAGTAAATAAGATCAAATTGAATTGGTGATATCACCTATTGAATACCTGATATCACCTATCGAATTGGTGATGTCACCTATTCGTTTTGAATTGGTGATATCACTGATTCGAATGAGTGATATATCCTATTTGCATTTCTTGCAACATTAAATAATGAATTGTCCCTTTTTCTAGACAATCTAGCTTACAAAGTGGGATGAAATTTAAAAGGATTTCAATTGAAAAAGGTTATTTTTCTTAGCATTGATTAAAAATCGATAATTTTAATTTCTTTACCCTTAAAAGTCTAAAAACTTAAGATTCTCTGGATTTGTTGAATTTAATTTGAGCCACACTCTCTACTATTTCGGCATTGATTGATTAATTAATTGAAGATTCACTATCTAGATCTCCTTTTTCGCACAAGGCGGGAATGGGGGGTGATGCTTTATAGACACAAAAAGGTCCATGGAGCAACCCAATTTTACATATATAAGGAAAACGTCGATTAACCCACATTTATAGTAAACTTGATGGTGGCATATAAATTGAGACAGATTAAGATAAAAAAAAGTTCATAAATTTCAGATAATAATATTGTTCCAGATAAAATTGTAATTCTGAATATGTTTAATATCAAAGATAAGATTCTTTCGGGTTGTGAATTTCTCCTTACAGCGTCATGGCCAATCATGGAGATGGACCCCCTGTCATTGTAAGATCCAGTTAAAAAGTGTCATTGAATTTTGCATAGAATACCATCTCCGGGGGGGGGGGGGGCACTGTTAATCCCAGGCCCCTAAGACCAAGATGGTAGTTCTACTGCTTGTATACGTTTATGCTGTTATTTCTTTGTATGATCGGCGCGTATAATTTGTTATTTGAATTATTTGCAATGAACGGCCATGACAAGCACTACAAACAATCAATAATTGTTTTTTTTTCATAAATGTCCAGGAAAAATAAATTGTATGTCAGAATTTATTGCTATCCACGCACAATGTGCACATAAAGATGCGACAAACATGAAGGTGAAAAATAAATCTCAATTATAACAAAATTTTCTTTGATATTTCGCCTAACATTAAAGTATACTTTATGTAAAGTCTCCATAATTTGCAAAAGTCTCACAAAGATTGAAATTATTTGTCTATGAAATAGCAGACACATCCGAAAGAGGGCAAAAAGGATCGCCAAATATCAAAATTGTGAAAAACGACTGGAAAACATCAGATATTTCGAACTACATGTGAATGAGCATGGACACAGCTAATTTCGATTTTAAAAAATATATGTATACTAGGGATGGCAATCGAATACAGAATTGCTAATCGGTTAACCGCAAGACGTTCCGACCGATTAACCGGTTAATCGTATCAAACTACACATTTTCTTGACTTTTTTCAAGTACCTCTATTCCTAAGCACAAGAAAATTTGAAAAAAAAATGTTAGAAGTTAAAAACATTCTATTTGTCTTTATTCTTGATCACAAAAACTACATGCATATATTTTTTTATTTCAATAGACAAGAAAAAATTCAGAAAATCATGAAACATGCCTGAGAAATCGTGGATAATTTTCCAAGCGAATGTCACACAAGTTTATTCTTCATTGTCACCATAATGAAAACAAAGTCTGAAATGTATCACTTAATTTACAATATTTGTTTAATAATTTAATTTGATAGATAACTGCAAAAGATACACATACCAATTCACAGTGCTCAATGGTGATTAAATTATCTTTAAAGAATAACAGTATACCCGGGGGTAACGACATAGTGTTTTAACAGTAATTTGCACATCACAGACTGACCAATTACCCCACAAGATTTTTTTTTAAAATGAATTTTAAGAAGATTGCATTCAATTTTATTTATATTTTAAATTTTTTTTCGACTAACCGATTACTGATTTTCTAACCGATTGCCATCATTCCGATCGAGTAATCGGTTAACCGGTTAGAAATTGACATCCCTAATATATATATATATATACATTTTGGAATTGGTTTCAGCATATGATAGAGGTATACAGAATTTTGGAATGAACTTTGGTTGTAATTAGATAGTCTGCTATATGTGAATACATGAGCTTGTTCTGAGTACGATCAATTTTCAAAGCGAAGCAGGCTACTCTCTGATGAGTTGATGTTCCAGGGATTTCAATAGCAACATTTCGTAAATTTTATGGTCGTTTTAATGACCTTGTGAGCAAATATAACCTATCATTTGGTCGTATTTTGGCTGACGTGTTTCATACCAATTGTTACGCCTTTGTTTTTGTACTGAATTTACTACGGATAGTTCCGTCTACCTGATCAATACAAAGGGCTCACGGCGGGTGTGACCGGTCAACAGGCACCTGATCCCACCTCTGGAATTTCCAGGGGTACGTGTTTTATCACCTCTTCACATATTTGTATTGTTTGTGTATTTTTATTTTTTTAAGCTCGATCACTGTTCTTATCTTTTCCTTTTACATTGAATAGATTTTTTTTAATCATTTGATTTATCAATATTTCAGTGGCAAAGTTGGGGACTCTAACTTAGAAATAGTTTGTAAGTCGGATTAGATAAACGTAAAGGTCTATGGCATAATCAATTTGACCTTTTTGCACAAAATAACTCTGTGTGCAGCCTGCATGGAAAAATATGAATGTAAACTTAACAGTACAAGAACTGTAAATACTTCGAATTCAAAGAGATAAATTGACCACTTTTTCTTCTAAAATCTAAAAAAAAAATCTTTCCATCTCAAAATAAAGTTCTCCTCTAAATGCTTTTTATCTAGAAATTAATCATGGGTTTTTAATTGAATATACATGTGTAGTATAATTTGCTTTGTAGAATTTATGGTAAGAACTAATACATTTTGCAGAATTTTGGAACTATAGAGGTCAAACCGTCTGCACAGAAGCTCTGGATCGAACCTCCTTAAAGTCATATATGACGTATTTTTTATAAGTTCAGACTAACTAAAATTAAAAAGATCTTTCTATTTGTTTTATTACTTTATATAAAGATAGGACTTTCCTGTAAATTACACAATTTAAGTCAATCACGTTTCAAAGATATTAGAAATTTAAAACAATAACCGATTTATTTACCAACTCCGCATTTAAATAACAGTTTAAAGTCAATATAACTATAGAAACATGAGATTATCCAAGTTCAAAATCGGCGAAAACTTTAATTTGAATATAAATAAGTTACATATATCATGTTTATTTACACTCAATCTCGTATTTTTATTTTTGAGCTCAGATACTCCATATATATATAGCTAATTGTTTTAATTGCTATATAGCTTAAAGAGTGCTCCGTGGTGAAAAAATATGGTGATTTTAAAATTAGGTAACATGAGTTTCATTTAATCAAAAGTGTGAAACTTCACAAATCCACAAAAAATGATTTTACATTTGAAAATGTGTTTTTATTAAATCTTATAAAAGAAATTATGATGTATTTTTAAATATATAAAGAACGAGAACCCTTTGATACTTCCTTTGTATAAATGTTCTTTGTTGATAATATATTATTTTGTAAGAAAAGTATGTACTTTTTGTCTTCTACAAATGCACAAAACTTTAAAAAAAAAAAAATACAGGATAGTCTATGGAATTAAAGATTTCAATTTTTTTGACTTACATAACTGTTTACTTTTAATACAGCAACTAATATATGGAATGCAAATCATTGAATCAAAACTATCAATGCTAATTTCAGAATGTTGTAATTTTTTTAAGGGCCAAATAATCATCTTTTTGTGAAATATGTTACAGTGGTTTACGTTACATTTGATTCGTGTTAATATATTGTATCCAGTACCTTACTTGAGTGTTTGGGATTAATATTTAATAACATCTTTCATTCAAATATTTTTTATCTCGAGTTGACATACAGAAAACTACCAGAAATGCTCTATTCATAATTAAGTATGGAATATATTAGACAATATTCAAGGTCACTGAATTTAAAATACTACATTTTCTATTAACAGATGATAATCTAAAAATTTTTTTATTATTTTATGCTTATTGGATCTGTACTTGAACAGTTCCATGGCGACCGTTATGACAGTTCCTGAGGTGAATCAGCCCTTGTAACATGTTAGTCATATTGCCGTCTTTTTGTGACCAGGCCCAACCACCGGCAAATCCTTTAATATAGGCATGATCATACAACTGATTAATCGTCATACCACCGCCATCCTTCTCTCGGAATTCCCCAATAACCAAAGGTTTTTGTAAGCCAAAGTCTTCGAAATTATGCTGAAAATTAAAAACAAGTTAGAGCCATCTTAAATATTGCTTGCTTGCCCTCTCCCGATCAAGATTAAAGAGTCGGAGCATTTTTAGTCAGTCGGTCGGGAGAAGGCAAACAAACAATTTTTTAAAGATGGCCAGGACAATTACATTTAGAAGTTCAAAAAATGTTTCCACTTTTTGAATATTCTGGGATAATTATTAAGACAATGTATATGAAAATTCTTTATAAAACAATACAATTCAAATCAGGAATCTCTAGAAAAATGACTAAAACACTACTTCTGTGAGCAATCCGCTAGCTCTTTTTCGAAATATCACATCAAAGTGTAAGTTCATGTACTTCAGAGAATCTCTTATTGCATGCCGACAATTCTAATTGCTAGATACTCGCTGTGGTTTTTTTTTTCAATCATTAATTGATAAAGTCGATAACTTTTTATTTGGATTTCTTCAGTTTCTACCAAAGATTTTACCTTAAATGGAGACTCGATCCCAAATTGTCCTTGCCAATCGTAAGAATGGACTTGATAGAAGGATAAAGTGCCCTAGAAAAGAAAAAAAAGGATACTAAGAATTTCTTATATTGTACATAAAGTGTAACGATCACAAAAAGTTGAAGTTGAACTACTCTTAAACTTACATTGGCCTTTTCCCCAGCCGTAACTAGACAACGGTCTTTGTACAAGTTATGAAAACCAAAGTTGTCTGTGATGACTTTTCCATTCCAAGCCCCCACAGTAACTAGAGCGTATGGGTCCACCTCTTTAATTGCAGCAGCTTGCCAATTAAAAAACCTTGAAGAAAACTGTTGAATATTTATTTCCCTGTTGAATAATTTATAATCAGAAAAACACATCTGCTGTGAAATCACAAATATTTATACGAACTTAAACTGAATTTTATTCCCGAACAACTAAATGTATTAATATTCCTCTTCGTCACTAGAAGTCCTCGATTAGCATGTAGCTCTACTGGTTTGTACTTGCAATAAAGGTGTAGAAAACTACATAAATCTTGAAACATTTTTTTGGTGGAAACTAAAAACGGATATAGAAAATTATAGATCTTTGTGTAATATGTACATTTATTTCTAGCGATATACTTGTAACTGAAATCTGATCAAAACTGTTTGAGAAGCATTCCGAGAGAAAAAAAAAATTCCGAAAACAAACGAACAGACGGAAAGACAATCAGAGAATGATAGGCATTTCCATGGCATAAAATCTTCTGATCTTTGAAAAGTTTGGGGCTCATAAACCTGCAAATTTTTTTTGAAGATCGGAATACAGATTATATCAAGAATTAAAAATGACAATCTTTTATATACATGTATATACCTCAAAAGTTCCTCTGGTGTATAAAGTTTGCCTGCCCATCCCGCACCGGAGTAACGGAGATATTGCGTATCAAAGCAAGAGTCGTTGCCAGTCAAATCGGGTTTCAACTTTCCTTCCGGCGCGTTCATTAATTCCCAACCCCCGAGGGCTGGCATATCCTTCAGGGCTTGTACCATGGGCTTCAGGGCGTAGTTTATATAAGAATGAAGCTTTCCAGTATCCTGTAAGAAATTATATCTAAATAACTCAAGTCTGTATGTGTAAGGCTGTTTATTGTTAATTTTTCCCTCCATATACTCCATCAAAAGAAACAAGAATGGAAAAATAATTTCTGATGAGAATTTGATTCCTCGTTGTAGTTGGTATCGATCATAATCTTGTTTAATTAAAGGATCTTTTAAACACACACACAAACACACCCTTACAAGGGAAACGTGGAAGAATCTAAAAATTCACAATAATGTACGTTTACCCTGATTAAACCATCGAGACGGTAGTGTGTTTCTTGCCTGACAGCACCGTTCCATAACGTTGGAAAAACAAAGATGTTACGGTTCTGAGCAGCTGTTAACATTGACGTCATATCGTTAATAAAGGTACCGCCACTATCAAGGCCTGCAACGTGACCACTGTCATTAAAGTGGGGCGAAGATTCTCCTTCCATATGAATCCAAATTCCTGAATGAAACGATATGAGCAAGTAAGAATAAAGATAAACAAAATTCCTAAATTCTGTAGAAAATGGCATCTATCTAAAAATTATGAACGTTATTCTGATGATACCGTAAAAAAGACATAAGTAAAAAAAAATTACGAATAGAGTTGGCTCCAACATCCTGCAGTTTCTGAAAAACTTGTTCGTAATCGGTCTTGACGCTGTTATACTGGCCATTTCCAAAGTCGTAAGCGTACTGTTCCCAGGGCTTATTGATTCCAGCTAAAAATACCCTGTGTCCATTGTACGTGAAATGGGTCCCCTTTACACCAAGGCGAACCCCTGGGGAAAAGTAAATAAGTTACATTGAGGAAATTTTATCGATTTAACACATATATATGGATTTTAGTTTGAAAGGTGCATCCATACTAGTATGTGTTACAGACTCAATATTTGACACTGGAAATCATCAAACATTGATTAATATCAAGTAAAAGGTGTGCTGAAATAGGTCACAATATCTTGGAATAAGTCTGCATTTGGAAATCCTTTCTATGTTGTCTTTGACATAACAAAGTTATGGTAGGGAGGGATGTCAAGTTATGCATGCTCAAACAGAAAAAAAATGATTTTGAAATTCAGTAGCTGCATTTCCATGAATAATGTACAACCAAATTCTGATTAAATTGTGGTCAGGTCAAATCATGCAGTAGGTAACTGCATTTTAGGAATAAATTAAAGTAGACCAGGATATCCTTGTTTTCCATGACAAAGACATTCTCCAAAGACATGCAGATAATATCTCCGCTACTGTGACTCGTTTGTTTCTTTCTTTAACTTTTGACTTTGAGGTGCCACCTCTTGCGGGTAGAGGACTGCATATTTAGATCTGTACTTGGTACTTTAGACCTTTGAGTAGTAAAGGATCTTTTTCGTGCTAGGACCTACTGCGACACGGAACTTTGATTTATACGGTCTCGTCTGAAGGACCGGTCCTCACGTGCTCTGTGGGATTCGGCAAACCCGCGACATAAGGATCAACTTCTCTCCGCGACTCTAGAGCAAAGGCTCCAACCACTGCGCCACGCAGGCGACTTCTGTGACTTGTGGGATTATTTAATTTTCTAAGTTAGGAAGTTCATTGTTAGAATTCAATCATGATCACTTCTACAAATGGACTCGCTAAAGTACCCAAAAACAGATATAAAGAACATGGTGATCTGAAGATATAAAGCTTACATAAAGAATTCATTATGTCTGCTGAATAATTGCTTTTGAAAAAGTCGCATGTTCTTGCAATATGTTTCACAATTTTAAGTATCAATTTTAATGTTCGTTTTTTATTTAAAAGTATGTAATATATGAATTAACTTTACAATAATGTGTATCATCTATTTAATATAAATCTTTTTACATAATGTTTGTCAAATTCGTAGATACATGTACACTCGAAATTAAATCGTTTTTCTTTCTTGAATACAAGTATTTCGAAATTAAAATTAATAAAATGTAACAATAACGCAATTGCAAAATGAAATCTAGATTATAAATGAGTATATTTATGCCATATATAAACAAAAAATCCTACCAGATGCGGTCTCAATCATCAGCCCAAGAATCAGATAATGTTTGTCAAATTCGTAGATACATGTACACTCGAAATTAAATCGTATTTCTTTCTTGAATACAAGTATTTCGAAATTAAAATTAATAAAATGTAAAACAACAATCACGCAATTGCAAAATGAAATCTAGATTATAAATGAGTATATTTATGCCATATATAAACAAAAAATCCTACCAGATGCGGTCTCAATCATCAGCCCAAGAATCAGATATGTAACAGTCCTCATTTGACGGCTTTATCTGATTAGACAGAAACACCGAGTTATAAGACGAATTATCAGAATAAGAGTCGCAACTTTATGTTATCCTCACTGTTATAAAGCTTATTTAATGAAGTTGTTACAAGCAATATTGTTATACATTTAAAAATGTTTCCTGTTTAACAACTCATTTTTGTTTTACTTCCATCACTTTGAACTAATCGATTTTTACGGAAGATGCAATTGTTTTGTTCGTTTCCAATGAGTTAAATGTTAATTTAAGTTGCCGAACTACTTTTTATTGTACACATCATTGTGATCAATGATGTTCTTCTGTAGTTTACGTTAGTACAACAACAATTTTTTTTTAAAAATGCTTCCTGTTTAACAACTTAGTTTTTTTTTTTACTTTCATCACTTTGATCTAATGGATTTTTACGGAAGAGATCGTTCTTTTCATTTTCCAAGGAGCTGAATGTCAAAATTTTTTTGCTGAACTACTTTTTAATGTACATGTACGCATCATTATGATGTTCGTCCGTATTTTAAGTCAGTACAATAGTTACAGGAGAAAATATAAACTATCCCCAAAAGAATAATTCTGGTCTTTTTAGGTCATCTAGTCACTCAAGTGACCTATTGCTATCTGTTTTTGTCCATCGTATTCCGTTGTCTGTCGTCAGTCGTCCGTTAACATTTGAACATTTTCAACATTTTTCTCTGGAACCGCTTACCCAATTTCGATTAATTTTGGCGTAGGATATCCAAGAGTGAAGGGGGACAAAATTTTGAATTTCATGCCTCCTCCCGCGCGCTTTAGGGGTGGGGCTAAAATCATCAAAATAATTGTCATCTTTAAGAATCTCCTTTATTGCTAAACATCAAGCAGCCAAACTCTTGGCATGATTGTAATACGCATTGAGAGTGCTATCCATCAGTGTCTTTTGAGCATCCCTAAAGGTGAGTATGCTGAGGTGTTCTGATTATGGGTTCAAAAACTTTGAGACAAGTAATAAGGTTAACTGGGAATACTTTGAGGGATTACAAATACTGCTTCTTGTGTTTTTCTTACTTTTAGATTGCATTTTGCATTACTTACTGGACGACCTTCGCACTTAGGCGGAAGGCGTATGTACCCAAATAGTATCCGTAGAACAATTGAACGCTTAAGTCAAGGCTTAAGTAATATCAATTTCAATAAATTTCAAATGTCCTGACTTGAAGTTTACAGGTTGCAAGAAACTTTTTTCTATCTAAGGAACATCAACTGATCAAGTTAGGTGAATGTACACACAAAATATACGCCTTAAATAAATTGACTATTTATGATTTAACTTACCACTGGTACTGGCGAGACCAGTACGTATTGATCATTTAATATATAATTATCTTATTCTTTAGTCACTTCACCGTAGACATTAGAATGATAGATGGTTTTCATACTGACCCTCAACTATTTAACACCAGATTTCAACATTTTTAAAAATATGTTTAATCCATTCTGACAAGGAGCAAGGATCTCCTCCTTTACCAGAATATATAATACATGTATTTATATTATTTTGTCACCAGTTGAAATGCCGGGCTTTCCTAAATTTTAGACGTTTTAAAAATAGTGATTTTAGTTCTTTATTGATAACTTTAAGCAGTCATCAGTAATGACGTGCTCAGCAGGACTAAAATTGTAATAAGAAAAAGACATGAATACGTAAGAGATTTTTTTGAGATGTTTGATATCTAGGCATTGTAGTGTTCTTTTTTGTATTAAAAATTGGAAGCAAAAGTCGATGTATACTTGTAAGAATAACCAGGTGTGGACTTCAACTTGAAATATGGTGGAAGATTGGACCTTTTTGTGATTTAAGAAATAACTAATTGGGGGGGGGGGGGGGGGCGTTAGTACCTTTCCTGGCAAAGGTCAGTTTAAGGATCAGACAAATTTCTTGAGAATTCCTGTCTCCTGTAAAATACACGGCGACCTAGAAATGCACAGCAAAATCTTTTTGCCTGGCAGCTACCATTGAAAAAATTTAGAAGTGGTTTTTCTCACTACTACCTACTGAATGTACTAAATCTCTTCTTTTTGTTTAATTGTTTGTTTGTTTAACGACCCTCTCGAGAATTTTTCACTCATATGGACACGCCACCACTTGCCGGTGGAAGGCTGCAAATTTATACCTATAGTGAGGGATCTTTTTCGTGCCACCGCCTACTACGACAGGAACCTCGGTTTATACGGTCTCATCCGAGGGCCTCTCCACGTCCCGTAGTGGATTCAAACCCACGACGCAAGGATCAGCTTCTTACTCCTCGACTCCAGACCAGACGCTCTAACCACTGCGACCTCCTCTTTGTACAAAATACATTTAATTGTTAATATATTTTTCTTTCCAATTACGCACCAATTGTAATCATGTTTTCTATTAGTTCAAATAAATAAAGATGTTCATTCTAACACCTACGTATGTAAAATCTGTCAGCGATACTCATTATGCAAAAAAAAAAAAAAACAAAACAAAACAAAACAAAAACTTGGCGACGTTTTGTTTGAGGGGAATAGCGACAGCGTATATTAAGGCAACAATTATAATAATTTTTTTGTTGAAGTAAACTTTTGTATTAAATTTGCAGTTGTTCACTTTAATGTGTGTTTCATAGAAAGCAGAAGTTTCCAAAAGTGCAGATTATCATTGACTCGACAAAATTATTGATTATTTACATAAAAAAGTATATAATTATGCATACAGAAAAAGCATTTTTGTCATCCTAGTGTTGCTTCTATATCCATTATGTTAAAAATAATTCAATTTTCCTTAATTTCATTACTAGTACCCTAGACTAGTGGATGGAATTGGAATTTTATGCCCCCGTATCGACGATTCGGGAGTATATAGTTTTTGCCCTGTCCGCCTGTCTGTCTGTCTGTCTGTTTTTCCGCGAAAACTTTTACATTGCCCATAACTTTTAATTGGTTAGAGATATGAGTTTCATATTTCACATGTCTATTCCTTGTGACAAAAACCTTTCTTTGGGTACCACCATATTTGACCTTTTGACCTTGACATTGGAGTTTGACCCAGTTTTGCAAAATTTTACCCAACTTTAACCTTGGCCATAACTTCTGAACGGTTGGTGCTAGGGCTTTCATTTTTTCCACATGTGTGTTCCTTGTGACAAGACCTTCCTTTGGATACCAACAACTTTGACCTTTTGACCTTGACCTTGGAGTTTGATCTACTTTTGAAAAACTTTAACCTTGGCCATAACTTTTCAACGGTTGGTGCTAGTGCTTTCGTCCTTCACATATATAATCCTTGTGACAAGACCTTCCCTTGGATACCAAAACTTTGACCCTTTGTCCTTGACCTTGGAGTTTGACCTTCTTTTGAAAAACTTTAACCTTGGCCGTAACTTTTTAACGGTTGGTGCTAGTGCTTTCATCCTTCACATATGTAATCCTTGTGACAAGACCTTTTTTTTGGATACCAACAACTTTGACCCTTTTGATCTTGACCTTGGAGTTTGACTAACTTTTGGAAAACTTTGAGGTTGGACAGAACTTTTGAACAGTTGGTGCTAGGGCTTTCATATTTAACATGTTTATTTCTTGTGACAACTTCTTCCTTTGGATACCAACAATTGTAATCCATTGACCTTGACCTTGGGGTTTGACCTATTTTTGAAAAACTTTAACCTTGGTCATAACTTTTGAATAATTGGTGCTTCAGCCTTAATATTTCACCTGTGTATTTCTTAGGAGAAGGCCTTTCCTTGGGCACCATTAATTTTGACCATTTGACCTTGACTTTGATGTTTGACATACTTTTGAAAAAAACTTTAACCTTTCCCATATCTATTCAATGGTTGCCGCTAGGGCTTTCATATTTCACAGGTATATTCCTCGAGACAAGACTTTACTTTGGGTACCAACATATTTAATTTGCATTTGAGAAAGTTTTACCTTTGCTATAAGTTGCCATACGGGGGCATCAGTGATTCACAAACACTTCTTGTTTTTTTCAATATTTTCATAACAGTGGCTGAATCACAGTCTTGCAATCTTAATCAATTATTGCTATGATATTAACATCGATCATTAAATTAAGCAGGATGAAGTTTTAAAAGAAAAAAATATTAAGGTTGCTCTTCATTTAAAAACAGTTCGCGGTAGCTCAGTCGGTAGAGCGCTCGCTCCGTGATCGGGAGGTCGTGAGTTCGAATCTCGGCCGCGACTGACCTAAGTCGATAAAAAATGGGTAGCAACTGTTCCTTCGCCATGCGCTCGGCACTTTGAAGTGAAAGTTGCGGGTCCTTTGGATGAGACCTTAAAAACCGAGGCCCCGTGTCCCGACAGGCGTTGGCACGATAAAGATCCCTCACTGCTCAATGGCCCTGAGTGCCGAGTAAAAGGTCAAAATTTGAAGCCCTTCACCGGTATATGGTGACGTCTCTACATGAGTGAAAAATTCTCGAATGGGACGTAAAACAATATACAATCAATCAATCAATCATTTAAAAACAAGATGTGTTTGTGAAACACTGATGCCCCCGTATGGCAACTTATAGCAAAGGTTAAACTTTCTCAAATGCAAATCAAATATGTTGGTACACAAAGTAAGATCTTGTATCGAGGAATATACCTGTGAAATATGAGAGCCCTAGCAGCACCTGTTCAAAAGTTATGGCCAAGGTTAAAGTTTTTTAAAAGTAATTCAAACATCAAGGTCAAATGGTAAAAAATAATGGTGCCTTAGGAAAGGCCTTCTCACAAGAAATATACAGGTGAAATATGAAAGCTGAAGCACCAATCGTTCAAAAGTTATGACCAAGGATAAAGTGTTTCAAAAGTAGGTCAAACTCCAAGATCAAGGTCAATGGATTACAATTGTTGGTATCCAAAGGAAGGTCTTGTCACAAGGAAAAACATGTTAAATATGAAAGCTCTAGCAACAATTTTTCAAAGGTTGTGTCGAAGGTTAAAGTTTTCGAAAAGTAGGTCAAGTCCTAGGTCAAAGGGGCAAAGTTGTTGGTATCCCAAGGAAGGTTTTGTCACAAGAATTACATATGCTAAGTATGAAAGCCTTAGCA